GAGCACGACGTGCGAGCCCGGCTCCAGCAGCGCGTGGAATATTGCATTGATCGACGCCATGCCCGAAGCAAAGGAGACGGCGTCAGATCCGCCCTCAAGCCCCGCGACGGTGCGTTCCAGCAGCGATCTTGTCGGGTTGTCGCTGCGGGAGTAGAAGTAGCCGCGTTCGTAGCCGCCGTCCGCGTCGCGCTCAAAAGTCGTGCTCAGGTGCAGCGGTGGCGAGAGAGATCCGTGCGCGTGGTCTATCTCGGAACCCGCCTGCGCCAGCCGCGACTGCACGTGCCAAGCGGCCTCGCTGCTGAGATGCCGCACCTTGTGGCCTCGAGCCAGCGCGCGCCAGCAGAGCCGCCTCTGTGTCAGCAGCATGAGACGGACGAGCGATCGGGCTGATGGGCTACAGCGGCGACGGCCCCCAACGTCTGAACCAAGCAAGGACGCGCGATGGGGAGGAGACGTGGCAAGGCCTCTCGAGGTATCATGGCGTCTCTCCCGATCCCAATTGCCCGATCGGGAGAGATAGGATTCCTAGCTGGACTGTAAATCCCCGGATACTGACTGCGATTCCGGTCACCGTCTGCCGGGCGCCGACTCCTTTGTCGGCTGGGCGGGCTCGACGTCGTGCGCGTAATACGGCTCGAGCCGTTCACGCGCACGACGTCTTGAGCCACCCACGCACCCCACCACCTCAAAAAGAAAGAAAAGAAAGAAAACAGACAACCCAAACGAGGGATGGGGGAGGAGGACAGGGTCCCCACCTGCACGAGCAGGATTTTGGAAGGACGATCAGGGGGACAGGTGGGGCTCTCCTGCTCCTGACAAGGGACACGACAGGCTCGCAGCGCGGTGCTCACGGCCCGGCTTGTTACTTGGCGGTTTCTTTTCGCCGACTCCATCGGTTGTGTGTGTGCGGATGGCCTCCCACCGCATCGGCGCCCGCGTCGCAGGCCTCTCGCCAGCGCAGCTGTGCGCCATCATCGAGGCGCAGGCGGGCGCGAGCGACGCTGCGCTGCGCGTGGCGGAGGAGCACGCCACACGGCTCGTGGAGCAGCCCGAGTGGGTGCTCTCCGAGGTCCTCCTCTCGCCGGACCTCGCCCCGCACATCCTCGCCCAGCTGCCGACCACGGAGCACGCCGCCAAGGGGACGTGCCGCGCGTGGCGCCGCGGCTGGAAGGAGACGCTGAAGAGGCGCGAGAGGCCGCGCCTGCTCGTGATCGGCGGCCAAGACAACGAGGGTGGGACTGTCAACTCGCTGGAGCGGTACGACCCGTCCACGAATGAGTGGGAGGAGAAGGCCGTGCCCCCGATGCATACGGCACGAAAGCATGCCCCCTCGGCGATGCTCGATGGCAAGCTCTACACGGTGGGCGGATGTCGTCCTCAGGGCGACGCAACTTTCAACTTGGTGGAGCGGTACGACCCGGCGACGAACGCGTGGGAGGAGGTGGCGCCGATGGCGACGGCGCGGCTTGCTCACGCCGCGGCGGTGCTCGACGGCAAGCTGTACGCTGTGGGAGGCTACAACGAGGACGACGACGAGGACGAGGATGGCCACAACAGCTACCTCAGCTCAGTGGAGCGGTACGATCCCGTGACGAACGCGTGGGAGGCGGTGGCGCCGATGGCGACGGCAAGGGACTATCACGCCGTGACGGTGCTCGACGGCAAGCTGTATGCTGTGGGAGGCGGCAACGACGACGTCGACGACCTTAGCACAGTCGAGCGGTACGACCCGGCGACGAACGCGTGGGAGGAGGTGGCGCCGATGGCGTCGGCACGGGACGACCTTGCAGTTGCGGTGCTCGACGGTAAGTTGTACGCTGTGGCCGGCCAGTTGTACGAGGGTGCCGGCCACAACCCATACAACCGCCTCAGCTCGGTCGAGCGGTACGACCCGGCCGAGAATGCGTGGGAGGCGGTGGCGCCGCTGGCGGCGGCGCGGGTCTCTCCCGTAGCTGTCTTGATGTAGACGGCTCGTGTCTGTAGACTAAAAAAAGTAATAGAGGAGCGGACCGTGAGTTGAGGAAATCGGAGGACGCGACCCACTTCGCCACAGACGGTCCCGCGCCTCGCCGCTATGACGGCCGCACGACCGCAGCTCGTGTGCGTGTACCCGTCTTTGTCCGGAGTGAAAAGTCCAACGCGCTCGTCGGTGACGGCGTCCTCCAACCTGCGCCGCGCTCGGCGAACCTCGACAGCGCTTTCGGTGGCATGCAGCTCTTTGCGCCTGAAGCCTGGAGAGCAGCTCCTCTGCTGCTCACACACTCTGCACAGTTGACACAGCCTACTGTGCGGCTGCCACAGCTGTCACAGCGATGGGCTCGCCCTCACTGGCCCTCAGTCACTTGTGCTGCGGCTTGTGTGAGCGACACTGCTCGGCGACTGCCGGCACACTGTGAGACCATGGGTGTGAGGTAAAAGCACGCTACCAGCGCTTGGTCACATCGGCCCCGAGGTCAGATCCTTCTACTCTGTTGATGACAAGACTTGTCTACTGGCTAAAGCCGAGCAGGAGGGCCCAGCGCACAACCCCTGGTCAACTCAGGGTCCACACCCCGTATATCTTTACTTCCTCTTCCATCACCCGGACGTTCCCAGGGTGATGGAAGGTTCGACGCACCCCCGGACTGGGCAGAGAAATCCCAGGGCACGCTCCTGGGCACTCCACCCCGCCCCCACTTGCCCTGACTGCACAGGATAGCGTGCCCCGACAAACGGCGACACATAGCGGGGGACACTGCGCCGGGGGGTATGCCTAACTTTGGTGCTTTGTGTGGGTCGCGTTCCCTTGGTAGCGTGTCTGTAGACTAAAAATTGTTCCATTTCCCGAAGCTTCTTCTTGCGGCCCCTCGAGCGTAGTGCCAGATACGCTCACTCGGGATGTGTGGCAGCCCAGCTGGAGGCTGTGTGATACGAGGAGAAAGGCACACGACGTGAGGACACGAAGAAACAAGAAAGCGGAGACCACACACGGCGCCCAAAAAACCCCTCGCGTGTTTTACACACCTCGCAGCGGCTGCCATGCGCTACGCCCGCCGTTTTCCTTTTTCTCGATGACCGCGGCCGACATACTCTTCCCGCTACACACGGATCCAGATTTTATGCTGCCAGGCGAGGAGTTCGCGGTCGAACGCTGGTACAGCAAGCTCAAAGCTAAGCTCAAGGACGGCTGGACACTATGTCGTGAGTCGACCACGTGGAGCTACCTGCCTGGTCCGAGCAACGACGGCTCCACCTGGTGGACGGACCCGCAGACGTGGTCTGCAATCATGCTCGCGCTGATGGCGGTGCTCCTCTCAATCCACATCTATGCCAACACCAACCTCATTACGAGGTGTCGCTCGGCGCCTCGGAGCGTGGTGCACAGCTTGCGGCGCATCCGCGAGCGTCGTCGACGCCACGTGCTGCGCGCGCCGCGGCAACCGCTGTTTGATATTCGCCGCGTTGGCCGCTCATCACAGCGTGGCCTCAAAGCGATTGCTCTCGGCTTTGGTGGCGACGACGGCGGTGCACGCGCTCGCGAGCGCCAGAGCTTTGCAAACGCTCGGTCGGTGCTCGAGTCGCGCCTGAGCACGATGGTGGGCCTGCAGAGCATCAAGGAGCACCTCTACACGCTGCTCGACACGCTCGAGATGGACCAGCGCCGCTGTGCGGCAATGCCGGAGTTCGTGTCGCAGCGCTCGTCTATGCACATGGTCTTCCTGGGCAATCCGGGCACGGGCAAGACCGCGGTCGCGCAGCTCATCGCTGGCGTGCTCAACGAGCTTGGCGTGCTGCGTCGTGGCCACCTCGTCGTCGCCAAGAAGGACGACCTCCTCGGCCGCTACTCGAACCACGTCGCACGCAACACGCGCGCCGTCGTCGAGAGCGCGCTCGGCGGCGTGCTCGTGATCGACGAGGCGTACTCGCTGCTGCAGGGCGAGATTGAGCTCGGGCGCGAGGCAATCAACGTGCTGGTCGACATGTGCTACGCCCACCGCGACGACCTCGTCGTCGTCCTCGCGGGCTACGACCGAGCGATGGCGGAGCTCTTCGACGCGAACGCTGGCCTCGCGAGCCGCTTCCCGCACAAGTTCGCCTTCCCGGACTACACGCCGAGCGAGCTGGGCGAGATTGCGGAGATCAAGCTGCGGGCCTCGCGCTTCCGGCTCGCCGACAAGCACGCGGCCTCCGCGCTCGCGCGCCTCGTCGCGCCGATTGCGACCGAGGTGCCGTGCGGCAACGCGCGATCCGTCGAGAACCGAATCGCCGGCGCGATCAGCGTACAGAGCACGCGCCTCCGCCACGCTGCCGCTGCCGCCGCCGCCACTGCCGCCGCTGCCGCCGTCGCCCCGAGCGCGACACCACCCATAGCGGGCCGCGGCCGGGCCGACTCGTTGGACGAGATGAGCCTCTTTGAGATGCGCGCGGATGACTTTGACGAGGCCGCCAGATTGGCCGAGAAGGCGGCCGGGGTGCTGCAGCAGCAGGAGCAGCCCGACTCGCCGCTAAGACGCACCAAGGCGGAGGATTGACCAGGAGGAGCGTCTGTGGGGAATAGATCTTCTCGCTGCTAGCTGCACAATGCGACCGCACTTGGAGAAATAAAGAAAGAAAACAGACAACCCAAGGCGCAAGGGAGGGATATATATGGACGACTTGGAGCACAAAGTGCGTTTTTTTTGGCAGCTCGACACGGAGCCTCTTGTCGTCATGGTAAGCGCCTCCAAACGCCGCCCGCGGGGAGTCGCCGCCGCCCGCCGTGAGGGGCCACGCCTGTAGCGTAAGGGCGCACCTCCGCTCCGCGCCCTTCCTCCGCCGCTCACGTCACTTTTTTTGAGTAGATACGGCAAATGCTCGGCGGTCATCAACGCGTCGCGGCTCGCCATCAGCGACGCGCCTCGCTTCCGGTGGCGCGGGCTGTTGCTCGACTCGGCGCGGCACTACCTGCCGGTCGAGGCCGCAACCCGCGTACGACTATTATAGTCATGGGTCTCATGATCGCGCGCAAGCGATGCTACTGGCTACTGCCGGGCGCAACACTCCCCCCCTCCTCCACAGTGGAGGTCGATCGCGATCGTGAGAAGCGAAGGTGGCTCTGCGGCGACGTGCTCGCCTCGACGAGTGAGGCAGCGGGCATGTGGCCACGGCCAGACGCGCGGCCTGTCGCACCCGACCAGCTGTGCCAGGATTGCCTGACGTCCTGCAGCACGTGCCGCCGCCAGCTGTCGTAGGGCAGCAGCTCCTTGACGAGCAACGTCGCGCCGTCGGGCCCGGCGGCGGCATCCACCTACATTATGGCAAGCGTGTGAACAGACGCCCTCACAGCCTTGGCGAGGGTATGGGCGGCGGCTGTGGGGGACCTGCGAGACCTCGTGCGCAAAGCAGATCCAATCTCCCTCCGCCAATAGACCCAACGCCTCGCCCGCCGTGGCACCCTCCACGCGCTGCGCCGCCGATAGCGACCCGCGCAGCAGGTAGATCTCCTTGATAGGTCTCCGGAACAAAAGCGCCTGGACACACAGGCAGGTGTTGACCGGCTAGATCGCACCCTGCCTTCGGCGTTGGGAGGCGCGCCTTCTCCGCGTGTGGTGCCCAGCGCTCGATCCGCGTCTCGAGCCCGTCCTTGCTGATGGCCCACCCACGCCGTGGCCCGTCGATCCAGCTGGCCTCGCGCTGCCGTGGAACGAGGAGGCGTGGGCAGAGCGCCACGTGCTGCGCAGACTCGGTGGCGGAGGTGGCTTGCATCAAGCCCCACCAGGTGAGGATCTCGGTGCGCCCTTCGAAGGGCTGAGTCATCGCCGCGTGGTGCGTGCCGATGGGGTAGCGCACCAGCGCGGGTGCCTCTACCTGCGGCGGGGTGGGCGCCGGCTGAGGATGGCGGTCGAGGCGGTGGCGGCACGGCGGCGGAGGCCTGCGCAAAGTTTGTGTCCGCGAAGCGGCCGGTAAAGACGATGTACTCCTCGCCGCCGGGGTGGTCATGGTAGGGCAGTCGCGGCGTGTTTGGCGGATAGTCCACAATGTAGCGGACGCGCGGATAGTGAACGCTCCCGCTCACTTGAGCAGACAGCCACTTCCTGCGAATGTCTGGGAAGGTGTGTATGTCGTCGCCAAAATCGTCGCACTCATGCACGGTGTTGAGAGCGCACTGAAAGCAGTGGGAGGAGGAGGTCCACTTTGCATCGGCCGCCTTGACCAGGTGTGTCTGACTGAGGTCGCAGTTCCGCGCAAAGGTGGACGACTCCTCGGCATTTTTCCAGTCGGCATCGCCAGCCAGCCACCGTTGCTGCGCTAGTGCGGTTGCCTTGCTGGCCTTTGCGCCTTGTGCGCGAATACACCACGGCCACGAGCAGCACGCGGCCCGGGGCCGGTTGATCTGTCTCGTCGTCCCTGGCATGTTCCTTATTGGTACCACTAATGAAAAAAAATAACGCACGGTCCCTCAGCGGAGCTGGGAAGAGGACCGCCGCAAGCGGCGTGGCGTGGGTCGGTTGTGCATCCCTCCGGGGGCCCCTCTGCGCCGGGGAGGCGTTGTTGGAGGTTAGGACGCAAGCGTCCGTCGCCCTTTTCAAACTCGGGGCCCACTCCGCTACGCTCCGACCCGAATTTGGAGGGCCTGAAAAGTTTGAGGTGTTGCTGCGCAAAAGGGTGGGGAGCCGCGGCGGCGCCGCAGGCGCGGGCGCGCAGTGGAAGCACGCTAGCCATACAAATTCACGCAGAGAAGCTGACGGTCGGGGTCGTGACGGCTCGAGGGTGCGCACACTAGCGGCTGGACGCCTCACCCGCGGACGCCTCACCCGCACGCGCACCCTCCAACATCGCCGCCGAGCCCAACGCCCTGCCGTCAATCTCGACGAGCGCCGCACACCTGCGCGGACAGTGGGCAGACGTTGCCGCCTTGTGTCCTCGTGTGCCCGGAAAGCCTCGAGCCGGCGCGCACCGGTGGCAGCGCAGGATGAGGCGGCAGCAGTGGAGGGTTGGGGCGCATTTGAAGGCGCTGGCCCCGACGCGCCATTAACTGGGTCGGGGTGGTTCCTCACCCCTCTGGTTTCAGTCAAGCGGGAAGAGTCTGTGCAAGGGGGGCGGATGGGGCTGGCTGCGTCACCTTGGAGCATGAAAGGTTCCTACAGTAAGGCTACTCGAGTACGCAGCACCTTGGCTTGGCCCCCGAGCCGGGAGGCGGTCGACGACGCGCAGCATGGCGGTGAGCGCAGCCTGACGACGCGTCTTGATGGACGGATCCTTCTGCCGGCTGACCAATTCCTCCCACCTCTTGACCGGCGGCTTCGTCACCAACAGCGCTCGAGAGGCGGAGCAGCCTCGATGCGATCCAGTTCGGTAGCTATCTTGTCGCGCAGCGCATCGTCAAAAGGCAGGTTGTTACAGGCGTCGCGCGCGTCCCCGAGGTCACGCAGGAGGCTCTCCATATGTGTTGCAATATAGCCCCCGGCTGTGGTTGCTGCAGTGCTCCCGTAAAACCAGCGATGTCTTTGCACCAGCTGATAGCTTGCCCCCGTCCACGGCCGAGATCACATGGTACGTTTCTGCACGGTATTCGGATTTTGGGGTAGGTATATTGTTGGCAAATCAAGACACAGAGCTCACACAGAATCACAGCGGGAGGAAAGCGGCGAGTCGCAATTCCTGGGGTCCTTGTGGCGGGCCACCCTGTCCAGAGAGGCATGGATGCCAATCTGGGGTCTTTCGACCGAGTCTATGATTTTGCTATTTGTTCGTGTGGGGGTATATTGCAGATTTGTCAATGGTACCGCGTCTGCGACGCGGGCGCCTTGCGGGCAGAGCCCTTTGCCACCCTTTATATCTTGCGCGCTCATAATGAAAACAAGAATTTTACAACAATCAAAGCTCCCTCGCACAACACTGGGCACGGGACTGGCGCGCACTGGCACTAACACAGGTACACCACGGGAGCCGCCTAAGCGACTCCTGCGAGAGTGGCGAGGCACTTAGCTCCGTGCACTCGCCCACCCCCGCCACAGGCAAGCTCATTCACAACCTGCTCTGCGATTGCCGTGACCCGTGTGAAGAACGACTGAGATACGCTGCTTCTGCAGCCCCAGCCAATTCTTAGTGGTCCAAGTCACCTCATCGACGTACTGGGCCCGCGTCAGCTTGTTCTGTAGCACGTCCGCCGCCTTCCGGAGGATCTCACGCGTTCGGCTCTACGTTCAGCGTGGCTCACCCTCCATGCCGTGAACAGGCGCTTTATCCACCCTATATTCTTCTCTCTCTCCTCTGCCCGTGCCTTGGTCTTGTCGTTGTTGTTTCGCACCCATGTCTGTATGGCAATCGAGGCTGCCTTCCCCACTACCTGTAGTTCCCTCGTCACCTCTCCTGCAAGCTCCCCTCTCTTTCTTTCGGGTATGGAGTCCGTGAGTGCGGGCAGCGTGCAGGCAATCACGGGCGCTATTTTGTCGTACTCCTCTTCGGCCACAGCGCTCCAAATCTAGACCCCATTGCCTTTAAGGAGGCTGCCCTCGCGCGTCTCAGGAATGCGGCTGTGTCTTTTGAGTCAGGCGCCGCCCGTTCGACTCTTGCTGTTGCCCTCGCCGCGTGTTTGTCGCTTCCGCATGAAGTAACGCGCCCCTTCCTTATTTCCAGCGCAGCTGTGCCGCTCAGAGAGTATGTGCGCCAACGACGCACGCGACAGAGGGGCAGGACACGCCGAGAATTCTTCTCGTCGGGTTGCTCGGGTCGGGGTGGTGGGGTGGGGTTGTGGGGTGGGGTGGGTGGGGATGTCGGGGTGGGGAGTGCGAGTGGGTGGCGCCGCCGGAGTGGGAGTGGTGGTGTGACTGCTCCTGTGGTGCGGGCGACGGCTTCTGAGGAAGCCGTCGCCCGCGCCTCGCCTGTCGCGTGAATCGTGTCGTGCGACCGCCTTAAAAAAGAAAGAAAACGGCCACGCCAAGGGAGGGATGGGAGGACGGCACGCCGCCACCACACAGGGATTTTAAGGAGAGGGGTGTGGTGCGCTAGCCGTCGCCCACCCTTGGGCGTCCGCCTGGCACCGCCTTTTGTTGTAAAATTCGCGCCCTCGAATTCTTCTCTTCGTGTTGCGCCAAGCGCCCACACGCCGCAGCGCCTGAGCTCGTGCGCTGCTCGCGCGTAGCATGGTGCGCGGCAAACTTCTCGGCAGCGTCGTGTCCGTGCCGCCTCCAACGCACCGCCCCCGCGCGCTCGCAGGACTTCAAGGGCCAGTTCTGGTGCGAGCGCTTCTTTCAGGTCCTGGTCGTGCTCTTTGGCCTCGCTGGATTCGCCGTCGGGTACATGAAGCAGGACTTCCGCGTCACCTTCCAGTTCCTCTCGGCAGGCGGCGGTATCTCCGCCGTCATCTGCCTGCCCGACTGGCCGTGGTGGAATCGAAACCCAGTCTCGTGGATACCATACGACAGCGAGGAGGAGGAGGAGGAGGAGGAGCCGGCCAAACCAAAGAAAGAGAAAAATAAGGAGAAGAAGAAGAAGTCGCAAAAGGCCCAGTGAGATCCGCAACCCCTTCTCTCCATTGCAGCAGCCCGCCCATGTACGTCAGCGGTTTGAGCCTTGTCTGAGTGCGTCTCCCTCCGCTGATACAGCAACAGGGCACGTGTGTGTCGCCTCTCAGACAGTTGTTTAAAGTATATGCTGCGAACTACTCGCGCGCGATGCACCCAAGAACACACACGACACACGCAGGCGGGTGGGGCTGCGCACACGCACACAAGATGACGCAGACCCAGACTAGCACAAATGGGTATTGTGTTGAGAGACCAACTTAGCAGAAGGACACAAGCGCGCCCCAGTGCCAGCCCACCTGTGTCTGAATCGGGGATCTGTGAACTGTTGATGTCGCAGCCGGAGTGCCGCCTCCCGGAGCCGGCGCCTGGCACGCGCCAGAGGGCGAGAGCAGCTCGAGAGAGCAGCGCGCCAGCGGGGGCGGCTGCCCTCGCCTCGCCTCCGCCGGCGGTCAGCCTCCGAAGAGCATATCGGCGGCCGCCTGCGGGTCGTAGCCGGTCGCCTCGAGCGCCTTGCGCGCCTTGTCGCGCGGGAAGCCAAGCTGCTCTAGCTGGGCAACCTGCGGGGGGGGGGGGGGGGAGGGGGAAGGGAAGGAGGGGAGGGGAGGGAGTTCCCCCCCCGATGCCTGTGTCTTCAGCTCGTAGGCACGCTGCCTCCGGCGCCCGACAACGTGCAGTACCACGTCGGACTCTTCCCTGCCAGCCTTCCTGGAGGCCCTCCTCTCCCCTCCGCCCCCCCGCCCCTCCGCATCGCGCCCCTCTCCTCTTCCCGACCCCTCCTCGCTGCACCCTCCTCCCCTCTCCTCGCTGGTATCTCAGCAGGCTGTGGTCCAGCTTGTGACGAGATGAGTGGAACCTCATTGAACCGCGAAAAAAAGAGCCTGAAGTTGCAATCTCAGTGTCCCAGCCAGCACGCAACCCCGGGCCCGAAACGCAGCCTACTCACTACTATCGTCGGCGCTACGGGCAGGGCAGTGGCGCGACTATCGTTCAGCTGATGGTCCAACGGCGTCTGATCGAAATAAAGAAAAACGCAGCGTTTTCGCTGCCCGGGTTTTGCCTTCTGTGTCCGCCTAGTTCTGCAGTCATGCTCGCCGTCGCTCTTCTCGCGGCGCCCTCAAACGCCGCCTCTCGCCCCCGTCCGCGTCGCGGGGAGGCACTCATCGGCACGCGCAACCGCACCGACTTCAGCATTAAGCTCTCGACCGACGCGCCGGCGCCCGCCCTCGCAGCGTCTGCCTCGCGCAAACCCGACAAGGCCACGGAGCTGCTGCTCCACCAAGACGTCCTCGGGCGTGAGTGGGCGCTGTTCGATGTCTTGCCGGACGCCACCTTCCATCCGACCTTCTCCTTCCCGTTCAACCTCTCCAAGTTCAGCGGAGCCAACTCACGCGCCGCCGGCCCGACCACCTTCAAGCCCATCGGCGCCGCGGCCGACGCCGCGCTCGCCTCCTTTGGCGAGACCACCGGCGCGGCCATGACCGAGATCGGTAAGACCTACCCGATTACCTCCAAGCTCAACATCGGCTCCTACGCCGAGCTCTTGACGACCGCGACCCTGCTCTTTCTGCATCCTTGTGCGGCCGTGCTGGCGCTGCTCCTTGCGGCGTGCCTTGAGCCGCTGTTGCGTGGGCAGGTCAAGAAGAAGAGGGTGGAGGGCCGCAGCCACGCAGCGATCTCCGTACCCTTGCTCTCCAGCACGCGTGCTCTCCGAGTCGGCATTGTGATCCTCTTCTGCCTGCAGGGCGTATGCGGCACACCAGCGGCACCGCTCCAGCCCGTCAACGTCAGCAGCCCGTGCTCGCTCACCGACGGCGGCTCGTGCGCCGCGTCGCCAAACTACCCGAACAGCTACGGCAACAACGAGGAGTGCACCATCAGCGGCGTGCCGCCGGTTGGGTTGGAGACGGTCGCCTTTGAGGTGGAGGCGGGCAACGGCTGCCCCTACGACTATCTCACCGTCAACGGCACGAAGTACTGCGGCACCTCGGGGCCGCAGGGCGCGGTGGCGGAGGACGGCGTTATCGAGTGGTTCTCGGATGGCAGCGTAGTCAGGTCGGGCTGGAAGGCGCGCCCCTGGTCCCTCTCGCTCCCCCCGTCTCTCTCCTCTCTGATGCCCTCCTCCCTCTGCCGTCAGATCTGCTGGGCGACCCGGCCGCCATCACCGCCGTCGCCGCCGCCATCGCCGTCGCCGCCGCCATCGCCGCCGCCGTCGCCGCCAGCTTCACCGCTTCCGCCTCCGCCGCCGCTCTCCCCCTTTGTCGCCGCGGAGAGCGAGGCCGAGCTCCGCTCCCTGATCCAGTATGCTGCTGTCACTGCGGCTGACGTCTCAATCTACCTGCCGCCCAGTGCGCACTTCGAGCTGAGTAGCCGGATTAGCTGCGGCTCCAACATCAAGGTGACCGTCGCGAGCAGCGGCGAGGGCGCAACGCTCGACGGCAGGGGGGAAACCGGGCTCTTCTACCTCTCGGGCCGCTGCAGCCTCACCCTGCGGGGGCTGACCCTCGTCAACGGGAGAACGCGCAACGGTGGCGTTGTGTACGCTTACTACGCAGGCGACGTCGAGATCATCGACTCCGCCGTGACTGACTGCGCTGCTACTGGCTCCTCTCCCGACGGGGTGCGCTGCGCAATGCCGCAATTTAGCAGCGAGACGGCCACGGCTGCCTCACCCCGCTCTCTCCTCGCAACCGCAGTACGGCGGCGTCGTCTTCGCGGTGAGCAGCGGTTCGGTCTCGATAAGCGGCTCGACCGTGACGGGCTGCTCTGCTGGCTGGGTGCGCGGTAGAGCTAGCCGCACCCCAGCAGCACCGCACAGCAGCGGGGCGAGAGATGGAGAGGGCCACGGCTGCCTCACCCCGCTCTCTCCTCGCAACCGCAGGACGGCGGCGTCGTCTACGCGTGGTACAGCGGTGCGGTCTCGATAACCAGATCGAACGTGAGGGACTGCTACGCTGGCTATGTGCGCCGCGTAGAGCTAGCCGCCTCTCAGCAGCGCTGCACGGCAGCGAGGCGATAGATGGAGAGGGCCACGGCTGCCTCACCCCGCTCTCTCCTGCTCGCAACCGCAGGAGGGCGGCGTCGTCTTCGCGAATCGCAGCGACTCCCTCTCCATCGCGGGTGTCGACTTCATCGACAACGTTGCAGTGGACAGCACAGGCTCGGTGCTGTACCTGCGGAGCGTCGAACAAACCTCCATCAGCAACGCCTCCTTCACCGGCAACACCGGTATCACGGTACAGACTGTCAACTCGCAGATAGACTGGGACTGCCGATTGGGCAGCTGGATGCCGACCGAGGGCTCGTTTTTCGGCGACTTCAGCGCCCCCGAGTGCAACCCTTGCTCCGCTGGGTACTACGGGGCAACGAGCGGCCTCACCAACTCCTTCTGCAGCGGCCAGTGCACCAGAGGCCACTTTTGCGAAGAGGGGACCGCCGACCCCGAGCCCTGCCCGGTCGGCACTCGCATGCCGGCCCTCGGCGCGGCGAGCAGCGAGAGCTGCATCCCGTGCGCTCCAGGGCAGCACCAGCCCCTCGCAGGCCAATCGGACTGCCTCACCTGCCCCGCGGGCAGCTTCTCTCCCGACGTCGGCCTCGCCGTTTGCGACCCTTGCCCGCGCGGAGGCTACTGCGAGGAGGCGGGCGCCGCCACACGCATGGTCTGGGAGCCGTGTCCCGCCGGCAGCTTCAACCCGGCCGACGGCTCCAACTCGATCGCAGCGTGCGAGCTCTGCCCCGCCGGCACCGCGAGCGCAACGCGAGGCGCGGAAAGCAGAGAGACGTGCGCGCCATGTGAGCCTGGCCATTTCGCCTCCACGCCCGGCCTCTCCAAGTGCGAGCGGTGCGCCGCGGGATTCTACCAGAACGCGAGCGGCGCTGAGGAGTGCACGGCGTGCGGCGAGGGCCACGCCTGCACCACGGGCAGCGTGACCCCGACGCCATGCTCGCCGGGCAGCAGCGCGTCCGGCCTCGGCAACGCTCGCTGCGAGCTGTGCGCCCAGGGCTACTACCAGAGCGCGAGCGGTGCGACAAGCTGCATCGACTGTGCACCAGGGAGCTACGCCGCGACCATTGGCAGCACTATCTGCCTGCTGTGCCTTCCGGGCAAGATAAGTAAGCTCACCGGAAGTGTTCGCTGCATGGCCTGCGATGAGGGCACCTTCAGCGGGCGGCCAGGTGGAACGACGTGCGAGGTCTGCAGCTCGGGTGGCTACTGCATGGGCACTGATTCCTATGGCGGCGGCTTCACGCCGTGCAAAGCGGGTACGTACAACGACCAGCAGGGCAGCAGCTCGCCGGATGATTGCCAGCAGTGCCCCTTTGGTACCTTTAGCCCGACCACCGGCGCAAACAGCAGCGAGACGTGCAGTAGCTGCCGTGCTGGGACGTTTGCTGACGAAACCGGGCAGAGTGAGTGCACAGATTGCCCCGCGGGATCCTACTCGAGTCCAGGCAGCCACTCATGCGATGAGTGCGAGGCTGGTCGTTACGCCGCCAACCCCGGCCAGGGCCAGTGCGTGCCTTGCCCCTACCCCCTCAGCTCGGTCGACGGCAGCACCACCTGCTCCATCTGCAAGGAGGACTTCTACCTGCTGACCTCGGCCGCCGACACGGACGCCATCTTCAAATCCCCGACCGAGTTCTGCAAGCCCTGCCCGCCGGACGCGGACTGCCCAGACAATACCACCCTTTCATCCCTCTTCCTCTCGCCCGGCTTCTGGCGCGCCAGCCCCTCCTCCGCGGTGCTGACAGAGTGCCGTCTCTTTGGCGGCAATGCCAATGCCGGCAAGACGCGATGCGCCGGCAGCGAGTCGAGAGGCGCCTCTCGCCGCCGGAGGATGGAGGAGGTGGGCTCGGACGCGTACTGCGCTTCGGACTTCACTGGCCCGGAGTGCCGGCTCTGCGTCGCAGAGAATCATTACCTCGTCGACGGCGACGAGTGCGTAGAGTGCACACCGCGCGGCGCCGCTGCGGGTCGCGTCGTTGGCCTCGTCCTCGGCCTCTGCGTCGCGTGCGGCTTGGCGGTCTGGGCCTACTACATGCCGTGGCGGAAGGAGCGCATCATCGGCCCTCTCCTCCGCTTTGCAGACCGCTCCGTCAAGTACTACGTCGGGGGCGGAATGACGGCCAAGGTCAAGATCATGTTTGGCTTCTACCAGATCAGCACCGTCTTGTCATCCACCTACTCGGCGCGGCTGCCGCCAGAGTACACGGACTGGACCGACAAGCTGGCCAATGCGATCTCCATTGACTGGTCTGGCTTTTACCTGCCGGAGCAGTGCCTCGGCTACGCTCTGCGGCTCCTCGCCATCGCCCTCTCCCCCGTCGCCCTCATCGCCCTGCTCATGATCGCGGGAATAAGCCTGCGTCTCCACTGCTGGCGCGCCGCCCCGGCGCCGCGCGAGAGGCCGTGGTACGCGGAGGCGGCCCTCGGCCTCCTCGACCTCACGCCCGCCGGCTTGGTGCTCATTTTCTGCTTCGTTCCCTCCATCAGCGCCTCCATTTTCCAATCCTGGTCGTGCCAGGCGCCTCCAGCTGATGACTGCCGTTGCTCACAACCCCACACCCCTCAGTCCTCGCAACGTTCTGCTGATAGGCCTACACCATCTCTCCGCCAAACGAGCCCCTGCGGCAGGTCTCCTACATGCGGCAGGACGCGAGCGTCGAGTGCGGTTCCGACGATCACGGACCCATCAAGAACCTCGCCATCGGCTTCATCGTCCTCTGGCCCGCCGGCTCGCTGGTCCTCTTCACGTCGCTCCTCGCCGCCTGCTACAAGCCGCTGCAGGCCAAGACGCCGAATGCGCTGACGCGGGCCACCGCCTTCCTCCACAGGGAGTACGAGAAGACCTGGTACTGGTGGGAGGCGGTCGAGCTGGCGCGCAAGCTCGTGCTGACCGGATTCGTGCTGCTGATACCGGAGGAGCGAGCCTTTGTTCGCCTCGTGGTGGCGACCCTGATCTGCTCGTGCTACGCCGTCGCACTCGCCGTCGTTCGGCCCTACAAGCGGGTCGAGGACAACGTGGTCGCCGTCGCCACGAGCCTCGTGCTCCTCCTCCTCTTCCTCGGCGCCAACTGGAGCACCATATTCCTGAGCATCGAGGAGAGGCACCCCGACACAGCGGAGGCCGCCGCTGTCCTCGGGTTCGGCGAGCTCAATGTGATCGTCGACTCGATGATCATCCTCGTTGCAGTCGTGCTCGCCTTCTTCCTCGTCGGCGCCATCGTCGCCGCCCGCCGCGTCGCCAAGGTCCCCACGATTCGACTCGTCTCGACCAAGCAGCCCCCCGAGATGAGCATCGGGACCGGCATCACGTGGCACCTCTTCAACAGCCACATCTGGTGAGTCATAGCCATGGAGGGAGAAGAGGAGCAGGACCCGGTATAGAGCCACAACCTCCGAATAGGTCGACCGGTCAAGACGCCGTAAAGGTCATCAAGGGCGAGCTCCAGCAGCTGCTGCCAGACATCAAAGTCTTTCTTGACGCGCGCACACGCTCAGCAGCGCTCCTTAAGCTACACACACAGCCCCTCTGACGCTCCGCGGTGTGCTCTCATAGGTAGATGATCTTAAGGATATCGGGGCGCTCGAGGAGTACATCCAACGCTCGCAAGCCATCCTCTTCTTCCTCTCGCAGGGCTACTTCCGCTCCAAGGCGCGCCTCCCCCTCCCACCCCACCTCTACCGCACTCTGGCCCTACCCCCCGCCTCTCCGCGCCACAGAACTGCCTCCGAGAGGTTCGCTCGTCGCTCGAGAAGGACAAGCCGCTCGTCCTCGTCCAAGAGGCGGACCCTGCAAAGGGCGGCGGGACGCTCCAGGCGCTGCGCGACGAGTGCCCCGAGGACCTGCAGCCGGCCATCTTTGACAAGGACTGGCCGCTCACGATCTGGTATCGCATCGATGAATTCCAGCTCATCTCCCTCAAGATCATCGCCGAGGCGCCGCCGGCCGCAGCCAGCCGCTCTGCAGTCCTCTCCGTCTCCCAACCAACCCCCCACTTGAACCACCCTAGGCGGTGCTCCTTTGTTCGCCCAACTTTCTGGACAATACCACCCTCCCGCTCTGCGTGTCGGGCGAGCTCGAGAGCCAGTCGCTCGCCTTTTCCAAACCGTGCACGCTCTGGGCCTCGCCAGCCAACCCGGGCGCCGCAGAGCTGGCCTGCGAGCTTGCCAGGGCCTTTCCCGGCCTCACCGTCTCTACCGTTGCGGACGTTGGCTCCTCTGCATCAGCACGCCCCTCCACGGCACTTCGCGGGTTGGCACGCCGAACGCGCCGCGCCGGCGATGTGACCCACATGCTGTTGTACCTCAATCAGAATACCTGGTTAGAGGACGACGGCGAGCGGCTGGCCGAGCAGGTCAAGCAGGCGCGGGAAGACAAGCTGAAGCTCGTCATGGCGCACGAGAACGACCCCGCGCTCGGCGGCTGCCAGTTCTCGAGGTTTTTCGAAGTCACGCCGCAGGAGCGGATGTCCAGCAGTGGCGCCCGTCCCGAGCCTCCCCTCCCCCCACAACCCTCTCCTCCCAACGCCGCAGGAGCTCATCGCCGGCGGACTCTACACGGACCTGGCAAAATCGTGCTTCCCCGGTCGCCACCGCAAGGCGCGCTTCCCTTCTCCCACAGCTTGGCTGGCTTTGCCTTTCGTGACGAGAGTCGTCCCTGTCCGCAGGTGTCGCTCGTCCTTCTGGCAAAGAGCCTAGGCGCGACCCCCGCTCGGTCGCGGGCGGACCTCCTCGTTTCGGGCAGCGTCGCTGAGGGCAGCACCAGCCTCGTGAAGCGCAGCCTTGGCGGCTTCAGCCGGGTGTTCGCCAAGATGAGCAGCCGCAGCTCTGCGGAGGCGCGCGACGTCTCTGGAGGCGAGGCGTCGTCGGTGCAGCGGCAGGTCTGATCGGTTGCGCGATCGTGCGCAAACGTGCAGCGCGGCGATGCTCCGACACACAGCGACAGCGGACAGGACAATGTGTATGTGAGTGAGTGAGTGTTGGGTTGTTGCACGAGTATATGGGACAAAAGCGTCGAAAATGTCCCAAAAAGCGTGTCTCGAGTTTGTGGCAGCCCCACAGCTGGCGCGCGCTGCCAGGAAGCACCGCTCGCGTGTCGGCGGCACTCCCTGGCACCCAGGGAGTGCCGCGAACCGACCAGACCGAATGGGCTCGACGCCGCGCTCGCTGTGGGGCTGCCACAAAGTCGCCGCCGAGCGTGCCACCGAAGGCGTCCCGTCGGAGGTGATGGAGTGTGAGACCTGAGGCTGCGGAGGTGACGCCTGAGGTACCGGCCCGTGCACAGCGACTCAGCCGGCGACCGCCACGGGCTCAGACGAGACTTGTCGACTCGTTACGGCTCAGCTTCACCGTGGTCATCGGGCGTCTGTCGACGTCAGGACCACCCATACAGCTCGCGGGTTTGAGGTCGCAAGAGCCAAGATGGTGGCGTTTGGACATCCCAACCATCACACAAGACAGCCTGTAGGTGATGGCGGGACGGCGCAGTGTTTGTGGCACTCGGCAGTAGGCACCCGCGGCACGGCCCCGCTGTCGGCTCTCACGGGCTGCGGAACCGGCCCCAGAGGGAGCCGGTCCGGGCGAGTGTGGCAGCTCCTGCGCTAGTATGGGCACCCTCTATCATAGCACTACTGATCCTGGTCATTAGAGCTGCCAGGGATAGCGTCAGGAGCCGGTAGGAGTCAAAACCTCTCATATTTGAGACATCGTGTCCCATATATACTCGTGCAACAACCCTGTTCTTGACCTTTTCTTCACACAGGAAAAGAGAAAAAAAGACCAGACACCACTCAGCACCACTCACCAGAGTATCTGGAAGGCGCTGTTGATTTATTTTTTCACAGCTGGCTGGTTCGTTGTCCGACAACTGGGTAAACGCTGGCGCTGCGAGCGTGTGCCGACGCGCGCGTCGTCTGCTCGTGGGGCAGTCGGAGAAGTGGCAACTCCGTGCACTGACGGTCGGCCGCCAGAAAACACGCCTCCGTGGCTCGGGTTACACCAATCCTCGCTACCCAACGCGGCCAAAGGATATCCACCTCGAGAACCTCGAGAACCTCGAGGGACCTGGAGCGCACCAATCGGGCCTATCTCGGGAGCGCCCAATTTTTCTCTCTGGCGGCATGAGCGGCGCCCTCCTCCCAACCCGCCTCGCCGACCTGGCTCGGGGCGACCTGGCCTCGCTGCGCGCCTTCCTCTCCGGGCAGGGGACGCGCGGCACGTCGCTCGCGGCCCAGCTCGACGCGCGGCAAAACACCGTCACGCAGGACACGCTGCTGACCTGGGCCGCTCGGCACGGGCAGGCCGAGGCGGCGCGGCTGCTGCTCGAGGGCGGCGCGAGCGTCGGGGCGGCTGACATCGGCGGCGCCACCGCGCTCCTCCTCGCGAGCGAGGGGGGGCACCTCGACTGCGCCAGGCTGCTCCTCGAAGCGAGCGCGGCGATCAACCAAGCAGACGCGAGAGGCTGCACGCCGCTGTTCGTCGCGAGCCAGCAGGGCCAGGTCGAGTGCGTCAGGCTCCTTCTCGAGGCGGGCGCGGCGATAGTGCCACCCATGGACGACGGCACCACGCCGCTGAGCGTTGCGAGCTTCAACGGCGAGATCGAATGCGTCCGGCTGCTCCTCGAGGCTGGCGCCGCGACCGACCAAGCAGACGCCAGAGGCGCCACGCCGCTGTCCATCGCGTGCCAGGAGGGCCAGCTCGAGTGCGTGCGGCTGCTTCTCGAGGCGAGCGCGGCGATCGACCAGGCCGATGAGCAAGGCGCCACGCCGCTGTTCGCTGCGTGCCACCAGGGCCACCTCGAGTGCGCCCAGCTGCTCCTCGAGGTCGGAGCGGCAGTCGACCGAGCAATGAGCGACGGCACCACGCCGCTGAGCGCTGCGAGCTTCAACGGCGAGGTCGAATGCGTCCGGCTGCTCCTCGAGGCCGGCGCGGCGATCGACCAAGCCCGCAACAACGGCGCCACGCCGCTGTACATCGCGTGCCAGAAGGGCCACCTCGATATCGTCCGGCTGCTCGTCGAGGCCAACGTGGCGGTCAACCAAGCCAAGCAGGATGGCGTCACACCGCTGTTCATCGCGTGCGAGAAGGGCCAGCTCGAGTGCGCCCGGCTTCTTCTCGAGGCCGGCGCGGCGGTCAACCAAGCCTGCAACGACGGCGCCACGCCGCTGTTCGCGGCATGCGAGGACGGCCACCTCGAGGTCGCCAAGCTCCTCTCCTCCTACGGCGCCTCCCGCGCCGCTACGCCCTTCGGCACGCCCGAGGAGATTGCAACCGAAGAAGGCCACGCCGACCTCGCCGCTTGGCTGGTCGCCAGCCGCGGCTGGACGCCGCTCGCGCACCTTGAGACCCTCACCGCCGCCCGCGCCACCTCCCTCCTGCGCGGCGGCGCGAGCTTGCACGAGGGCGAGCCGACGCCGCTGCGGCGCGCCGCGGGCGGCGAGGGCGAGGCGGCGGCGCTGATCCGGCGGGCGGCGGCGCCGTGGTCGCCGGCAAGCCACTCGCTCTTCCCCGCGCCGGCCCGCGCGCGGGCGGCGCTCCTCGTCCTCTCGCTCTACGAGATCCACGAGCGGTACCACCTCGACTCGGCAGAAGCCGAGAACGGCATCGCGGCGCTCGACTTTGGCCACTGCGTCTTGGGCTTCGCCATCGCGCGCGAGACGGAGTAGGGGCGTTTCGCCACCCCCTCCCTTGGGCCCTTGGCACGCGCCAGGCGAGGCTAGGCGACGCGAGCCATGTGAGCCAGCGGCTGTGGGAGAGAAGAAAGGGCTCTCGTAGAGCTCTACATGGAGTGCGACGTGTCTTCGCGTCGCTCGAGTCAGTTTGGGATTCGACCTCTATTTGCAAAACTTTTGGGCATCGCGGGGCATGTCGACGGTTCCCGGTTCCCGCGTAGCGCGTTCCTTTCGTGTGTGCCTTTTTTGCCGTTCCGCGTTGTTCGTGCGGCGCGGGTTCCCGTCGCTCGCCGCTGCGGTTGTGTGTCTTCAAAAAAAGAAAAGGAAAACGGAAAAGAGCAGACCCGGACGCCGGCGGGTCGCCGGAGTTGGACAACGCACGGCGAACCCGAGGCAGGAGGCACATCTTGGAGCACTTGGAGTGCAGTCGGTAACCTCACATCCAGGGCCGGGGAGCTAAGTCCTAAGAAGCGCACCCAGCGGGCCGGATGATCGGTGTCGGGTTGCGGGCAAGAGAGCCCTAGCCCCGGGGGTGCGCGTTCGCAGGGAAAGGGCCTTAAAGTAAACACGGGTCTCCGAGGGTTAGCTCCGCGCTCCAGGTTTCCCCTAGCAGCAGAACGCCCCCTCTACTCGGAGCTAGTAAACACTCGACACGGACTCGACGCCCGCCCACACCCCTCACCCGGCGCCTCACCACTCCGGACCCCTCTTCGTGGTCTCCCAACTTTCACCTCGGGACTCTTCCCCCACCTCTCGGTCCTTCCTTCTGGTCGCATCCCGATAGTTGTGACCTTGTGTGACGGGCGCGGGGCCCGACCTCCCCTCCTAGCCTCCTTTTTCAGCCGCGGCTCCGCCCCCGTCTCGTCTCCTCTGTCCGATTCTGTCGCCATCATCGACGGTGATCTGGGAAGCGGGGCCAGCTCACTCCGGTCACATCGCCAGCGAGGGTTTTTCTCGGAGTGCCTCAGATCAGCGGCGCGCGCTTGTCCCCGGGGGTTGTTCCATGGCAAGCAAGGCCGTCAGCACGCCCCTGCCGGCCTGGCTCAAGGGTCGGCTTCAGCCGGAGCCGGCCGCGTCGCGCTTCATCTACAACACCTTCTTCAAGTACAGTCCCACCTACATGACGACAGTCATGCTCACCGCCACGTTCGCCGGCCTCGCGTTCGACAACGTCATGAATGGCCTGTGGGACATGAACAACCGGGGGGTGCGCGCGCGTCCCGCCGCCCCGCCCACCCGAGATATGGCCGCCGCCCGCCGGCCCCTCCGCGCTGGCCGTGACCAGCCTCCCGCGCGCGATCCGGGGCGCTGCTCTCACCCCCCTCCCCCCCCCCTCCCCGCGGTGCAGAAGCAGTGGAAGGACATCAAGAACAACTATGCGGAAGAGGATTAGTCGCCAACAACCGCTTTGAACCCTCCGGGTATAGCTCCTTCGGCAGGGCACGCGCGCCCACGTCACGGGTGCTTGCTGCGCGGCGTCTTGGTTGTTGGTTCCTCGTTAGCTTGCTGCTCGTCGCTGTGCGCGGCGCGCGCGCCCCGGCAAGCGGGAGGCGTGGCGGGGCACTCGCAAACGCCCGCTTTTGTTTTGTTTTTTGAGCCGCTTTTGTTTTTAAAGCGTATGATTGCTTCAGAGCACAGAGGACAAAGGCCCCCTCCATCACCCTCGCCCAGGGATCTACAACGCTGTCTCAAGGTCCGACAGGTTCGGCACCGGGCACCGCCTCGGTATACAAAATGCGCCTGCGGGCGGACCCTCACAGATCACAGATCACAGATCACAAAGGTCGTCAGCAGACCGCCACGCAGGCGCGGTGCTACCGCGAGTGATTTCTTTAGCGTGTGTTAATGCCAGTGCGCGCCAGTCCGTGCCTACTGTCGTGGGAAGCTTTTGTAAATTCTTTAGCGATTTTTCTTTCTTTCTTGTAAATTCTTTAGTCGATTGGTTCCACTTTCTACGCACACCTACCGGGGAAGGGGCGCGTGGGAGCGG